TNAAACCCTAACCCTAACCCTAACCCTAACCCTAACCCTAACCCTAACCCTAACCCTAACCCTGCCCGATCCTACATCCCAGCCCTACTCAATCCTACATCCCAGCCCTACCTACAACAGGTTTCCAAACCTACTCGAAACCTACCTCCCAAACAAACGTCCCCATAACCCTAAGACGTTTCGACACCTTGTTGGACAGTCAGTAATTAACGGACATGTTTCTAAATTATTTTGGTGGTCAGACTGACACCAAGAATATAGACAGAGTGTCCTTAATTACTGCAGAATGACAGATTGACTTGCCAAAATACCCTATCTGACTTTAATTATTCCAGCATGACAGATTGACAGCACAAATCTGCATCTTCGTCAATTTTCAGGACAGATTGACACCCTATTGACCAATAATTAGGAGACATGTCTCCTATTTATTGCTGAAAAATTGACAGATTGACTCCAGTAGGGCCCTACTGGGCCATTTATATTATTAGGGGACCTCGCGGAGGCGTTTTGGGCACAAAACGTAACACGGCCATGTTGCAAAAAGTATATTAATAGGAAATCACACTGGAATTCAAACATATGACTAAAATACACTGCTAATTACCAAGCTGCGGAACACCCATCGTTCAGACACACAATTTTTTTGGAGGGCATTGGACCACTGTCACAGCCTAAGACAGCGCATCTCGGCGTCTTGCCCAGCACGCACGCTCCAGAATCAGCCTGACGTCACCCAATGAGCGACGGTCGATCGCGGGGGCTTTCCGCCAGCAGCCGACGCGCAAGATTCCAGAGGCCCTGGTCACATCTGCTGTGTGTATACCCGAGAAACCCCTTGAGAATGCGACCGCAGGCCCACCGATCGGCCCGGATGGCGCTATACCTCCGTCCGTCGCACACCTCGGGCGCTGTCCAACCTCTTGTACCGCGGTACCCTTCGACCTCCTGCTCCTCGTTCTCAACTAGCACGGCGATGTCGAAGTCGATGATCTTCAGCTCCCTAGTGCGGGCGTCGTAGAGGAGGTTGTCGGGTTTCAGATCGAGATGAGCAACTCCATGCTTGTGGAGGTACCCAACGCCTGCAACTAGGCTCTGGCAGGGCTGCTGGATCCTGCCGCCGCGCAGAGATTCTTTGCTGATAGGCTCCAGGCTCGGGAAGATAAGGTACGTTGTATCGCCAATAGCGACATGACGGAAGAGGGCGACGATGTACTGGGGCGGTGAGCTCTGGGCTCGGAGGTGCTGTAGAATCTCAAGCTCCTGTGATGACTTGCGAGCTTTTTTGGCGATCAAGGGGTTCGTGCACTCAACGTCCGACTGTTCATACACAGTCCTGATCGTAGACGACCGTCGCTGCAAAAAAAGAGATTGTGAGATAGAATGCGGGCGAACCGGAGGATCTTCGTACCTGGTCCAACCGCTCCCACACTCCAAAGGCGTCCTCGAAGGCGAGAGGCTCCACCTGGTATCCTAAAGCCTCCAGCTGCTCAGCAGTCTCGCCCTCATCCCCTACACCTCCGGTTTTCGCTCGCTGGGCGGGTCGCCCTTCTCCCTCGAATCCACCGTCCGGCGCCTTTCGGGCAGGTTTAGTTACGCTCGTCCACCCCGGGAGGGTCGGCTCATCGCGGAGCGCATCGTAGAGCGCATCTCTCTGAACACCTTCGTCTTGGGCATCATTGCCCGAAGTATTCTCCGCCGCCCACGATGCGAGGTTGTACAGCTCGCAGAGGAACGATAGGTGTTCGCGCTTCTCGGTGAGTTTGAAGACTTTAGCTGCGGTGTATTTGACCTAGGGCGTATTAGAAAGTATGCTTATTGCGACGAAGGGGCCTCACACACCTTCTTGCCCTGCTGCTCGTCCTGATAGAAAACCCTTCGTTCCAGAACCCCCTGCCTGTTGATGTACGCCGTCACGAGAAAGAAGCTTCTGTTCGTCTTGTGCTTCTTCAAGTACCCGTTTGCGAATCTAACAAGGGCCGCTGCTTGAAGTTTCATGCGTCTGTCATCCTTCATAGTCGTCTCTGACTGGATTTCTGCAAGGAAGACGGGAAAAATAGCAGGTGAGAATTGAAAGTCGCTCTTTGGCAGGTAGGAGTAGAGTTTGCGGTTGGTTTCAATGTAAATATGGAACGGCCAGTTGGTCGCGCGGCTAAACAGCGCACGTCAGCTGAAGGAACCCGAAATTTTGAAAGACCGACGCACTACCCAATTCCAAAGCCCCCGTAGGCAGCCAAGCTGTATCCAAAAGGGGAGAACACCGCCGCATAGGCTTGGAGTTCGCATAGTGGCCCTTCTCCCCCGCGCCCAGCGTTTGGGAAAAATCGCAGAGCAGCACTTGGTTGACATGAGCGATCTCTTGGGGACTGCACTCTCTGGCATTAGAGCTCCCGTCAGGGGCGGTGCCGTTGTTGGGGTCCGGGTTGGCGCTGTCGTTGGGGAGTGGGGTGAAGTGCGGAAGGGCATGGACGGAAATAAACTTGCGTCCTTTGAGCTCGTCTCAGCAACAAAGGAAACTGGGTGAGGGGAGGAGGCACAGACCACGTGCGCAGAGGTCTTCAGTGGCTGGGACGACGCCTGCCGGAGGCTGAGGGCTTGAGGAGGATGTCTTTAGGAGGTCTCGAAGATGTCCCTCGGCTTCGGACTCGTTTCAGAAACGAAGGAAGCTGCATTTGGAGAGGAAGAACAGACCGTATTTGAACAAGTCCAGGCCTTTATAGCGAGGGGTGGTTTGGAGCATGTCCTGGAACTCCACAATGCGTGAATGCGGGGTGCTCTCCTCAACGATGCCATTGTCCGCCAGGTCTTGGAGCGTAACAAAGCCTCGACCAGACGTGGTCATGGTCAATTGTTTGTACCCTGAGCCCAAGGGCGAGGATTGGGGTTGCATGGAGAGCTCATGCCGGACTGAAGACGCGAAAAGGTCAAGGAGTGGATGGGCGTCAGGGAGAGAACGCTCACGCTCGGGATCGGCAACCACAATATGAAATGCGAAGGGAGGCGGCTGAGCCGGGAAGTAGACATAGAGTGGGTCCGCGAGATCAAGCGGGCTCTCTAGATTATCGAGGATCCATTTGCGCGCACGCTCAGCGCGACCCTCCAGAGGTTTTGATGGGAGATTCGCCTGCTCAGAGTTAGCCAGATGGCTGCGACAGAGCGAGGAGGCATACGCAGTAGAGGGAGAGGTCGTACATGGCCACCTTGAATTCGGGGATCCGCTGTTTGAACTTCCCATGGATTTCCTCCAACAGCTTTGCGACGGATGCTTGTTTATGGATAGTAATATCCACAATGTAAGGCTTTTCAGCTGGATAGAAACACAGGAGATCGAGCTGCTCCATCTTTCGGTGAGGAGAGCGGTCGTGGTTGTGGAAAGACGTGGAACAACGCGGAACAACGTCGGTGGCACATCCGCTATCTAAAGTCCGACAACGATGAAATTAGACTTTTATGTAATCAAAGTTCTCACCCCTCTTCGGAATGGGCGGCGTTGGAAGGAGAGAGACGAACGCAATCAAAAATCAACTTCGGACACTGCCATCGCGAACAAACAAACAAATGTACTTATCTTATCTCTCCTCTCGAATCGCTGCCTGCCCCTTCGACGTTCACCCCACCCTGTTCCAGAGGTTGCTCTGGCACGGGTCGTCAAGCAGGTCGATTACGAGCGCCTTCGCCACTCGTATGAAAACGAGACTCATATTCACTCCCTCGGGTGAGTCTTCTATCTATTTCGGTCGTGTTCTTCAGGCCTCGTCTCATATCGCTACCCTTCTGTTCGTTAGGCGGAACGTCCCGGATGCGAGCCGAATGGGAAGGCAAAGCAGTGGCGCATTGGGTAAGATAGACATAGTCTTCATCCTCGAATGCCAAGCTCTCGGCAACGGAGGCGCAGTTTGAGTAGGTGGCAAGTTGGAACCAGAGGCGTTGAGCACTGGAATGAGATGTTGGAAGATGGGTTCGAGCTCAGGACTGGGGGAATAACTGACCGGAGAAAGGTCTTGCACGAGCGCAGACCACGGCACAGCCTACTGAGATGGTACCAACGCTGGCGTTGTTCTGCTTCGACTTGGGCGGTGTTTGACGCACGTCCGAAGCAGGGGTAAACCCCATACGTGGACGCAGTAGAGGGTGGGCAGAGGGTGGGCCGATGGCTGCGTCGACGAGACGAAGAATCTTTGAAAGGTCCGAAGCAGGGGTAAACCCCATGCGTGGACGGTGGTGGAAGCAGTGACTGTGATGGTCAAGGGCATAACTCGATTTGGAAGTGGCTGTGCGTGGCGGCGCGCTATCCCGGCTAATTCCATTCTTCAACTCAACCACCACCACCAGCAACGTCCCGCACGCCTCCATCACACATGAGCGAGATTGTGGGTTGTACTCGCACCTCGCATCGACACCCGGCTCAAGAAAACTGGCCTGTCGTTTCCTGCGCACCACCCGCGCGTCCATCCATCCGACGAGTGGCATTGTAGGTTGTACCTGCACTGGTCCCTTCTCGCCCAACCAACCGCCTCTACTCTGCCGTACCGCCTAGGCGAGGTTATATCCGCCAAAGCGATCCAGGATCGCTTCTTCCTCCTTCACCCACCTTGCGCAGGAGCGGCCCGCCCTCGATCCTCGACGACTGGGAATGCAGTCGTGGATTGTCCTCTGTCTACGAACGGTGAGTTATTTAGTTAGACTACAATGCTCATAAATTAATCCGTGTATGTACTTTAGACTTGAACGCCCCCTTACGCCTCGGAATGAAACGATGTTCGACAGCCGTGATGAGTCCGCCAGTCTTGACCTGAGACGTTCCACGAGCTCCAACCTGTCCGACGGCCAACTCAACACCTCCTTCAAGTTCGGGGGCCTGCCACGCACCCAGTCGACTGCCCCTTTCCACAAGGGAGCAGACAAGCCACTTACCCTCCCTGATATCATGCCGCCGCCCTCTTACGTTCACCAGATGTCCTAGATGTCCGATACTTCGATGTTGGACCAACTCGAAGATGACTCAGTCCTCAAATCTATCTACGCGAAGATCATCGGCGGCGAGGCACCAGAGCGCCAACGAGTGGATTCTAATGCCAGCGTCAACGAGGCTGAGGCCAAACGTATGAGCATCTACAAGGCCGCATCTCGCCCTACTTCTGGTATTTCTTTCGCTGGCTTCGACTCTTTCGACTAGGTGCGCCGCGGTTTCGAGTTCAGCCACGATAGACCAGCCTTCTACCTGCCACCAACGTCTCGCCGCCATCATCATCCCCACGAATCCGTCTTCAGCATCGCGTCCATCTCGTCCTATGGCTACGCTATCCACAACGGCGCGCCGGATCCATTCGACTACGGATTGCCTCTCCATGTCGATGACAGTTGAAGATACGTTCGAGTTCATGCACAATCGGCCTACTCGTCGCCGTGTCGAGAGCGATGCCTCAAGCTTCTACTTCCATGCGCCGGCATCTCAGCAAAATGGAGGTTGCGGCCACCGTCGTCAACAGTCGAACATGTCGGTATCCTCTCTCGCTCCACCCATCGGCCTCTATAACCGTAGCTTCGGCCACCATCGACGCAACGACTCCTCTGCGAGTACCAACTCCGTCGCCGTCTCCTTCCCAAAGCACGGCACAAACCCCGGAGTTCCAGCTTAGGCACGTCATCGCAAGGACATGTCTATGGATTCCGTCATGAGCGACTTCTCCGGCATGCACCTTGGACGTCCAGGTCTCGGAGACAAGATGTTCGACAACGCCATCGACCTTGGCCCACTCACCTCCACCACAGCTTCGCCTCCGGAGAGCGCCTCCCAACCTCAGTTCCAGCGACGTTCGTCATTTGACTCGATTATGGATGATGGCCCGCAGTCGATGGAGGACTCACTTTTCGATAAGACCGGGTATCGCCAATCATCGTCTGAGGACTCTGTCTTCGGCGATGACTGCTCGCATCCACCTGGAGGGCTACTTCCTCCTCATCAGTTCCGCCCGCTGTCCGTCATGAGCGACTCTAGCGTCCATAGTCCACCGAAGGAAGACGACACGATGATCAGCGTACGTTTCAATTTATTCTCTATTTTCTTTGATTTTTCACTTATGTTTTTCTTTCACAGATGCTCGGTGGTGGCCATGTCCGCCGCCGCTCCGTTGGCTCGATCGTTGAAGCCTCGCCTTGTGTCCGCGTCGAGAAGAGAAAGTATTCTGCGTTCCAGGAGCTCAACATGTACAAGAAGCAGAACCAGTACGAATCTCCGAGCAAGGCCCGGATCGTCGAGAAGCCATCCATCGCCTCCACCACCTCCTTCCATTTCGGCGGCGAACGTATGATCAAGGCTCAATGCGGTCTTCTGGAGCGTCAGAGCTTGGAGGATAGTTGCCTGATCGCAGATGGGGAGGAGCTCACTAGTGCTTGTACGTTTATAATTTCTTTTTCCGTGTTTATTTTCTGATTATTTCCTGGTCTGTTCCGCGCCAGTATTCTCTCGCCCTGCACCCGCTGCCCGCTCTCGTTTGAGCACCTGCACCTCAAGCTCCGGCGGCGACACTCCACGTCTTTCGGCCTCGGATGGATCCTCGATCTCAGGAGGATCGCAATCAAGCATCGATCTTTCTCAAGTCAATATAGCCCTCTCGAATGCGACCCATCCCATGTCTAACATCGCTCGCCAACGTGCCCGTGCCGGTGCTCGTGGTACAGGCCATCGTCGCCGCTACTCGAAAGCCCACATGTCGCGTTCCTCCGTCTATGAGACCATCGAAGAGGAGATCTCCAACTCGCCTACCCCGAACAAGAGCATCCTCTCGAAGATGAGCAGTCCGACGACTCGTCAA